TCTTTATCCATTCGTCTGTTGAAGGGCATCTTGGTTCTTTCCACAGTTTGGCAACTGTGGCCATTGCTGCTACGAACATTGGGGTACAGATGGTCCTTCTTTTCACTACATCTGTATCTTTGGGATAAATACCTAGTAATGCTATTGCAGGGTCATAGGGAAGCTCTATTTTTAATTTCTTAAGGAATCCACACTGTTTTCCAAAGTGGCTACACCAACATGCATTCCCACCAAGAGTGTATGAGGGCTCCCCTTTCTCCACAACCTATCCAACACATGTTGTTTACTACTGTCTTGTTAATTTTGGCCATTCTGACTGGTCTAAGGTGGTATCTCAATGTGGTTTTGATTTGAATCTTGGAACAGTATTGATTATCTGACATACTATAGTCTTAGGTGACTTTCTCAAGTACGTGTGAAACCTGACATTCTTCTAATTCAAAAGACTAGAAACTGGGATTAAATAAACTTTTAAGTATAATAAATAACGGTGTAATAGAAAAATTAAATCCCAAACTTCAAATTCCTGTATTTGTTTCCAAACAAGCTAGGAATATGTATAACATAAATGGGAATTATATTGAGATCATATTTTATTATTACATCACAGGGCAACGTCATTCTGTTAAGTAAATTACTATTTTATTGCTAATAAAAATAAATACAGCTTTATCTTTAATAAAGAGTTAAAATCTGCATATCTACTTTTTAAAAATTCCACTTAACTTTTATGTTTCAGGCATTATAAACATTTTTTAATAAATGTCACGAAGAGATATTTAGCAGACGTTTCAATTATGAATTACAAACTATAAAAAAAGTTAAAATTCCCCAAATCTGATAATTTAGCTTAAATTCCTTTATAAACTAGTTAATATGCTAGTTCTTCTACCAGAGCCCTATCCTACTAAATATTGGCCTAAAGGTAAAAATGGTTAAGAAAAAAATAGTTCAAAGGGCATAACCACCAATGGAAAGAGAAAATACAGTATCCACAAAACATCTTTATTTAAATCAACTTTGTTTTCTCTGCTGATATTTTTTTCCTCTTCAAAAAAAAGGCAATGGCCTAAAGAGGAATGTTGGACCTACCACGTCTCTGTCAATTCGGGCCGCCATCATCTCAGGTGGTTCCTCCTGCTCGTGGTACTGCCTTGGTTTCTCAACTGAAGAAAGAAGAATCATAAGTCTTTCAACCTGTTACCTAAGCAAGATCAATCTAGGTAATGAAACATGAAAACTAGCTAGAAAAGAGTGCCATTTTCAAAAGGGAACACCTTCACTGGACACAAAATCAAAACTGCTCATCATCTATGAATGACATGAATTCTTGCCCTCACTAAGAAGCACTTGGCCAGGCTGATGTGCTTGCCTTCAACCTTTATGATGTCTATTTACCCTGTAACTTCCCTCCCTATTCTCCCTCTTCTCAATGACAGCTGCCTGTAGAACCAACCCTAATTTCTCACCCTATAATTCCTACACAAGAAAGAAATATCAACTCACATTTAAGCACCTGCTCCTCGAAAAGTGGTCAACTAACTTTTTTTTTTTTTTTTTTTTTAAGATTTTAATTATTTATTTGACAGACAGAGATCACAAGCAGGCAGACCTGGTTAGTACTTGGATGGGAGGTCAACTAACTTCTAATGCAACCTCCCAAGTTTATACATTCCACCACTGTGAATACAACAAAGCTTGGGGGGTTCTGACATTAAAGTACTTTTTAAAAATTCTAGTTGTCATTAAGCTTAAAACCCACAGTGTTGGGCTCACTGATTTATACTTTCTAAGTATAAATACCTACAGGATTTGCAAATTAAGTAATACATATCTTAAGAGCATTCAAGTTGTTAAGTTAGCTCAGTTAGCTAAAGCATGATGTTAATCATAAGGTTATTATAATGAACTCCCTTCTGGTTAATACCACCATTAAACAGATACTTCTAGAAATATTTCACAGTAGATTAAATAAAAGAAAAATTGTACAGATGAAACAGGAAAAACGTAAGATCAATAATGGAAAAACTCATACTATATCATTACTCATGATGTTCAATATAGAAAACTACAAAAAATACTGAGAATTCTGTATTGCTATACCTCTTCTATGCCTTTCCCTACAAATGGAATACTGGCCCCCAAAAGAAGAAATTATGGAGTCTTATGAAACTTAATTAGTGGTTCTTAAGTACTTTAAGATAATTAGAATTTATATTTATGAAATCTTCCCAGTTAAATGCTGTTTTACATGGAGTTAGCGGATTCCTTGGGTATAGTATACTACAGAAAGCAACATGTTGAACTTGAAATATAGCTAGTAAGAATTCCAGATTAGCCCCGAAATATCATTTGAAGGGTGAGGTAAGGAAAGATGCAGTATCTCGAAGACCTTCTCACAGTCTGTGGCACCACTAGGAATCCACTGCCACTACTCTACAGAGTTCACTGTTGGAAGTCAGGGGAAGTGTATGTCAAGGATTCAAAGGAAATGTTAAGTCTGAGTTAGCCGGAGCCTTCAAAGGAACCAGAAAGATACTCCTTTTGGGGGGGATTTCCAACCAAAAACCGGCTTGGATCCAGACAGAGCCTCACATGATAAGTGTTACGTTCTATTTGGCCTAGTAGAAAATAAGAATTTCTGAAAATTCTTATTCTCATTTAAGTAGGTAAGCTTGCACAGCATTTTTTAGACAAAATCTAATTAGAGCCCAGAAACATCCCAGAAACAAAATTTTCTCTTTCTTGTAAATTTTATTAGGTTTTACAGATGTTTTCACAAATTTACTCAGAATATTTATAAACTCCTCTTAAAATATTTCCTCAGCTTCAAGGAAGACTATTTTGATCCCTCTCAAAACCCACATCTCTTCTACCAAAACAGTAGTAACAACAAAAGTACCATATGAACACAAAAAGTAGGAAACATTATAAACTCCAATCAGTTTTCTTAAACACAAAATTTCACAGAAAAAAAAATGGATCAACAGAAATTTGTATGATTTCTAAAAATAAATTGTTATAAAGTTAAGTATTCTGCTACTTCATTTTTGATAAACAGATGTTTCAGAGATTTCTTTCTTTCATCTGATTGGCTGGATTTAAGTGCAAATCTCTAAAAATAACTTCAATGATACAAAAAATATAAGTAAAATGGAAAGCAATTCAGAAATAAAAAACTCGCTTTGACAAAAATGAGACGAACCACATGTTGTATTACACTGCAGTAGAGACTGCTATAGACATTATTTGCTTTCAGATTCACAGCAACCTATGAATTATTATCCCTACTTTACAAGTGAGGTTGAAACACACAGAAATACTGTCCAAGGTTATTACACAGCAGATCCTGGTCTTACTCCAGGGTCCAGCCTTTGACTCAGCAGACGTAATGTCCAGAGTCACTCACTGATGGCCACCAAGTTCTATTTTTTAACTACATTGTCAGTTATCTGCATGAATAATGCCTTATTAGATAAAGGATAAGTGACTTAAGTCCATTGAACAATAGGGCAAAAGAGTGATGCTCTAGTCTTCATCAAACTCAAACTCACTGGATCACAGTTTATTTACTCATAATGAAGAGACTGGACCAAACATATTTGAAGGCATTTTCAGTCATAAAAACTTCAGATTATAAAAAAATTAATAAAACCAACATTCTTACATATAAAAAGTTATGCTAAGTTCTATGCTAGGATTATTTGTCTTTGAAAAAAAGTGTCAAGGTGAAATGATGATGCACACAGAGGGCCCCTTTGACAAGTTTAGCAAGAAGGAGATGCTTTTACTCTTGTCCTAATACTGCCCTGATAGCCTTTATCATGTAAGCACAACAATTTTCCAAACAGGAGAGTGGTAAGATAATAATAATGGAAAGAATTTTGAAGGACAGTCTGCAAAAAAAAATTTTTTTGTATATAAAAAATGTATAAAATGTATTACCATCTTTTTGTTAGCTGAGTCAAACTTCCTATTTTTGATCACATTAAAAAAAAAAGACTGTAATCCTAATGCCATATTTATTTAAATGACTGATCTGAACCCTCATATATAATAGTCTTATAGTGTCCAACACTTAAATTTCCTTCATCTAAGTGTGGTATTTTATTATTAAAAAAAAGCTAACCTCAAGCTTCAGTTCAGAAATCAGTATCCAAATTTGAGAGCAAGAATTATGTCACAACCCAAAGTCAATGTTAAATAAGCAACAGTCCCTAGAGATACTCACAGTCCCCTTGGTCAGCGGCCCATGCAGACCAGGCTGCCACCCGACTTCGAACATCCACCTGGGTAACGGTCCCAGGGGGCACCGGGGCAGGAGCTCTTGGTGGAGGTGGTATACCAGGGTCTGCTTTGGAAATCATCCTTAAAAAAGATGAAAAAAATAGAATTTTTACCATCTCCATGTCTATCAATTCTCATTTTATGGTATTAGTTCTTCAACCTTAAGAACAATGTCAAGGGGGAGGACAAAAAAGATTCCCTAACCATTTCATATTATGTATATTTACAAGTATATGTGAAATACAAAAACACAGAAAATTTTTAATTCAACTGAACATTAGGTTTAATTTTTTTCTGGGTCTCCCGTGACTGGGAGAGGTCTCCTCATACGTATTTGTACTCCCCCAGGCTACCTTTCCTTAAACTGCCACTCATCTGTCCTGACTCTGACTACACATATGAGAGAAGGCTTCTCAGAGAAAGACCAGAAAACACAGAGAGAAAGGTGCACACGTGTACTGGACAAACTCAGGAAGAGCGAATGAGCTGAAATCACAGGCTGTATTCTGTAAAACAGACCTCCACTGAAGATGATTTTTCTAAGTCCTTAGAGCAACAAGAAAAACAAACCCCCCCAAAACAAACAAACAAACAAAAAAAACAAAAAGAAAAACACAAATAAAAAAACCTTAAAACAATTCTACCCCTTAACTTCTTTTAATGTTTTTACCTCAGGGCTTCTGGCCGCCTCTTCTGTTTCCCTCCTTTACTGTCACTGATTGCACTCTCAATGTCTTCACTAATGAGGTTTGCCTGCAATGGAAGACAAGTTACCTGGGAGGTCACAGATTTTTCTTGTCTTGATGTATCGGTTCAAACAGCAACAACAAAAGGGATTATGTTCCCTGTCTGAATCAGTAAGTGTCTTGACGCAAAAGAAAAGTGTTCTTTTTTGAAAATGTGCTTTCAAAACATGACTCTTGGCAGTTTTTTGGTGGTGACTTTTATAATGACAAATTTCAAACACTGAAGAAATGCTCAAAGATTATTTAATCCAGATCCCATTAGTTTAGACAAAAGCTATCTCTGCATACAGCCAAAGAGAAAAGGATTTGCATATGTTGAAAATTTAAGTATATGTGGAAAATGTAACTGTGAGAAAATGTCTGCCTAAAAAGAAACGAAGGGGTTAGAAGTGCACACCTGTAGAGCAGAGCTCCTTCCCCTTTCTCATCCTCAGGCTCCAGGAGGGGGCACCCATTAACCTATTGGAACAAATCACTCAGTCCCAGCAGACACTCCCAGTTTGGGACAAATACAATATAATCATGGGATGAACCCTAACCCTAGGTTGTACCCTCTTTGATATCTACTTTATTTTGTCATTTCAGGTAAAAGCTAACGTTCTCCAAACAATAAACTTCTCTAATACTTTTCCAACAAGAATATGTGATTTGGTCTTCTTGGGAAACAAAGCGAAGTTAGCAGCTTCTTAAGTTTATTTTGTTTGGTATGAAGTTTATTTATGGCCAGTGATTATTACTGCATATTAAATTCCTGCTAGGATGTACTTACCTTCTATTTTCGTTCCTGCCTGTTCTCTGTCATTATGTATGTTTTTCTCAAATATGTACACTGTATATTCTTTCACCATAAGCACAGATAATCATAACATTTTAGAGCTGAAAGGAAATGTCAAGATTATCTAATCTGTCCTCTTTGCTTTATAATTAATGAAACTAAAGAATACTCATATAATGGCTTCGCCAAGGTCACATTCCTAATTAAATGTGAGGGTAATGCACCCTAGTTCAGAGTTACTTCTGTAAAACTATCTTAGTTTCAGGAAGACATCATAAACATCATGTCAAAGACTCTGTTATGTGCGATATTAAATAAAACTGAAGATGCTTAGGAACCCTGAACTTGCTGGGCTCATATTTCTAAGGAAAATTTTACTACAGAGGTGGGCAGGAGCGTTGTGTAAAACCCCGTAATAAAGAAACTTCAAAACTCAAAAGTGATGTTGCAACATGACCCATATAAAAGAAACTACATCATATTTCATTGTGTTTATATTCTCAATGTGTCAAGGGTAAAAAAAAAAAAAAAAAGGTCTCATGTGGAATATAGCACTCATGAGCAAAAACACAGAGCTGCATAGTGTTATTTGAGTTTTTAGACAAAACAGTAATTCAGTAAATCTGTTTCAGACCCATCAATACCACCATCCCCGATCAGATAAAACAAGCCCTTTATTCTCAACATTGAAATCCAGAAACTTTACTCAGCACAGTAACTCTTAGTTTCATGCTAAGTTTTAGAGCACTGAAGCAAACACCAGATTTAAAATGTCTTTTAGTTTAGTCCTCTGTTTTAAAAATATTTTAATTAAACTTCAATATATTTTCAGAAAAAAATATTCACATTAATACTTATTTAATACTTAACAAATCTAACCTTGCAAAATTCTTAATACCTTTCCTGACTTTCAAAATGTACTACATAAAATTCTGATGAACATCACTATGTAAACTATGTAAATACCACAGTTATTTTCAAGTAAAATTTTTATAAAGTCATCTATACATAAAGCAAGAAAAAGAAAATTATGAAATAGACTGTTGACAGTCAATCTTAATAATCTATCATATTTTAATGTCAAAGAAATACAGAAAAGATCAAATGACACTTCATGCTAATCTCCCAGCATTTCTTTATAAAATAAAAACTACCTGTATGTTTTATAATATAGTCACAGTGATAAGTCACTGCTTTGGCAAAGCACCAATCAACTCAACCCAAAATAATTTCCCTTTTGGAGAAATCAACTCATCACCTAAAAATATTCAAGGTTGATGATAATTTCTAATGTCCAACAAAGCACCACAAGTGATAAGCATTTGAAAATCACGGTGTACTCTGAATACCAATCTTCAGGATATAGCATGTTTTTACTGGTAACTGTGCTTAACTCCTTTCACATTATTACTTAGGGATTACCTATCCTGAGCAATTATTCAAGTCACGTAATTAAATGGTGAGCTTTAAATCTGTATAATGGAAAATGTCTAAGGGTTTCATTGCAATAATCCATGTTATGTGATTAGTGCAGAATAAAATAGGATGGCGTGATTACTTATTGTCCATAAAGCATGATTTTAGAAGAATCAATTTTTAATTATACAAGTCCAAGTAACTCAATGAAGAATTTAATATATTACCTATGCCTGTTTTTTTTTTAATTAATAGAATGCATCTTTCTTTTTAAAAATACCATTCTATTTCCTCTTTATTTACTGGAACTGTGGGAAAAATATTAAGGTATTTGTTTTCCTTACAAAATCCTAACAATCTAGAAATCCACTGGTCATGTGACTAAAGTGGATAATCCAATAGCTGTCAGAACATCTAACTGAAAGGGGAAAAAAATTTGCCATTCTTTTACCTTAATCTCATCACACTGGAAAAGATGAAGATCTGGCTTGTTCTGAGTTGGCTCTTTGCACACCAGGGCAAGAACTGAATCATAGTTACAGGAATGCATCACAGCTTGGCAGTGCTGGATTGTGCTTAAAGGAAAATTCTCTAGTTCATTCTGTAAACAAAGTAAAAATATAACTTGTCATAATTTTTATTGTATATCTAAAATCTACTGAACAAAGAGCTCTAGACACTGTACAAATAATTTTTGAAGTCTGAAGCTCACACTGACCGTGAATACTAGTAAAACCTGCAGATGTGGAGGAGGAGTAGATATAAGGTGGCAACAGAGAAACAAGATGGGGCTAGAAGGTGAGTGGGAGAAAGAGCAACAAAAAGGAAATATTTAGCAGAGGAATGAAGTTATGTTCTTAATAAACAGAAGAAATACTGAATTTAGCATTACTGACTTCCTCAGGTTGTGGAGTAGAGATGATATTTTTAAGAGAAAAGTAAAGTGAGGCCTCTTTCCAAAATGATTCACCATTTTAAATGGCATTTTTTCCCCCTCTGGCTATATAGTGTCAGAATTTCCTTTTACTTGAACATTGAACAGTCATACTCTTTTAATTTCTACCTTCAGTAATCCCAAATGTTAGGCTAAAAATAATACATCACTTATACTTTTTTAAAAATATTTTATTTATTTATTTGACAGAGAGTAAGAGCGCAAGTAGGCAGAGTAGCAGGCAGAAGGAGAGGGAGAAGCAGGCTCCCCACTGAGCAGGGAACCTCATGTGGGGCTTGATCCCAGGACCCCAGGATCATGACCTGAGCTGAAGGCAGACGCTTAAGGACTGAGCCAACCAGGCGCCCCACACTTTTTTTTTTTTTTAATTTCAATGACTCTCTCAAATGAAAAAATTCATTATATATATATTCGTTCATTCTAGCCAAAAATGTTAAACAGCTGGGCCAGAAGGATCTCACTAAAAAATACATTCTTCAAAGTAATTAATATGTTTGTTAGTATAAAAGTGAATATTCTCTAACCTATAAACAGCTACCTAAATAAAATACTGACAGATACTTAATGAGCTTTCTGAATTCTATACTTAATGAGATATATTTAAAATGCTTATTGTTATACTAATGCCTTTATACAAATTGTGAGTGGATCATAATGAATTAATGAGAGAAACTGATTTTTTTAATAAAGAAAATACAATATCTGTGGAGCACCTGGGTGGCTCAGTGGGTTAAAGCCTCTGCCTTCGGCTCGGGTCATGATCCCGGGGTCCTGGGATCGAGCCCCGCATCGGGCTCTCTGCTCTGCAAGGAGCCTGCTTCCCCCTCTCTCTCTGCCTGCCTCTCTGCCTACTTGTGATCTCTGTCTGTCAAATAAATAAATAAAATCTTTAAAAAAAGAAAATACAATATCTCCAGTAAATGAAAATAGTTAAATAAAGAACAAATAAAAGGAAAAAAGCAGCAACTTTGATTACAGATAGCATATACACACATACAGCATACCATGAATTTATTCTAACTTTTGATTCCCTGAGGTCCAGCAAAGGCAAATTTGGGTTCCATCAAAATAAAATGCAATTTATCAGAGGACCAGAAATAACAAATTTTCTTTCTTTGAAAAAGTAAATTAAGTACTATCCTTCCTTTATATATAACAACTTAAAACAATGAGGATGAGAGAAGCACTCAGTTGCTGTTCTCTCACTGTGTAGATGGAGTTGAGAAAACAAAGGACAGATCTTACTCCGAGTCCTATCAGAATAGTCTAAGATGATAAGGACCGTTGTTTTATCTTAGCAACTCAAATGCTTATCAGATGATGGGGCTCAGAAAAGTCCTGTATTAAGAGCTCCAGCATTGTACCTACCAGTGGTTGTGCAAAATAAAGGTGCCTGCTATAGGGCTGGTGAAAAGTTAATACACACACACACACACACCCACACACACACACACACACCCTTCATCCCAGGTTACTCAGTGACTGGGATACAGTTTGTCTAGTATATACTTAATATATGTCATAACGAATAAGGCTCCACTGGGGCCTTATTTCAGTGTTATGAATTTTTTTTTCTCACTTCCTCCATCTCATCATTTGTGGTTTTAAAAAAAAAAACAAAAACACGTATCCCTCTATCTCTAGTTTCAGGAACTGATTTTTGTGGGCATAATTTCTATGCAGTAGTATATTTCTTCTTTAAATTCACTGACAAATATTTTATTTTGTCAGACTTGCATCCCTTTTTAAACAATATGACCTGTGTGCCAACACAAATACCTGTGGAACTTTCCTGGAAGTGAAATCATCTAAATTTTACAGACTTACCTTTGATTCCAAATCAATCAGGCTCACAGCTCTGTCGTCCACTTGAAGAATCATATCCTGGGTCCACACTTTGCCCTTGGCATCGAGCAATTTCAGCTTCCTTATTCCATCATCAACAGTTATCATAGCATCTTTCCGATCCAGAACAAAGGTAGTCAAGTGCTTACGATTGACAAGAAGGAAAAAAGTATTTATAACACACACATTCTCTTAGTGCATGTTTTCTGAAAGAAAGCCACAGCGACCTAATCAAAGTCAGCGAGCGGAGCAGGGAGGAGCCAACACAAGGTCTCCTCCAACTTTGTGGCTCTCTTATTAAGATAAGAAAGTCAAGCAGGTTTTTATTGAATTGAGGAAAGGGTACCTTGAGTCATAAAATAGCTAAATCTGTATAATACTGAGCCATGCTGAGCTACATAAATAGAACATAAATTCTGAACAGCTTAAAAGCATTCTCTTAAGACTGATCCCTCCCACATCATTCCATGCTGGTTACTTAGGTGCTGAGCCACAACAGGCCCTTTGCACTGCGGCTAGAAACAGACACGGGTAGACAGGAGTGGGTAGTCAGCTACCACTGTAGTAACTGTCAAACTCGCCACAGTACTGAAACAAAACCTCACATTTCATGAAGCATGCTTGCTATGGGTAGAAAACAGAAAATAAGAGCAATTTAAAAATTACTTCCTACTTAAATATGTTCTATAGGAAGCAAAAGTCACCTATGTAGATTCCAATCAAGAGCAAATATATCTTAAAAGATAACTACACAGGAAAAATCAAACAAGAAAACCGTTGTTTAAATAGGTCTAATCATGACTTTAGGTAAAACTAAAACTAAAACTAAACCACTCGGTGAAAGCAAAGGTGTAATTTCAAAAAAAGATTCTAAAATATAAAACAGAAGCACCTCTCCTGTTTTTAACCAAAATAAGGCTGCCAATGATAAATAAGTGGTTAATTTATTCTCTGTGAAAACGGACCCCAGACGAACAAGATACTTCGTTATTTTACATCTCAGTTTTACAAAAATTGGAAGTAAAAGGTCGACACAACTCACAGCACATCACAAGAATAAAATAAAACATAATTCTGATTTTACTACCCAATTTTTATGTCCCTCAGGGTTCATTCTAAATTTTAGCAAACAACAAAACATCTTACTTCGACACGATATTGGGATATATTGGACACACTGCTGACACTGTCCCGAGCATAATTCTTCCTTTGTTCTGAAAGAGAGGTTGAAGAAGTCATTATTTAGCCACTAACAGGCTGAAGTTCATGTATCAGTGTCTTGTGGCCATCTCTAAAACGAGTCTATCTCACATATAAATACAGTAGCTGACAAGTCACCATTGTGTGGTGTATCTGAAAACACTCATTATTCACATTAAATGAAAAAGCCTACAGAAAGCTTAAATGATATGCAAGAACAATTTGACCCAATACAAATTTTCAGAATCCCAAAAGTAAATCTAGATTATTAATGTTGTCAGAAAAAGAGTTATTTAGTGCACGGGTTTTATTCATCAGATACGTATTCTTTGGTAAAAACATAAAAACTGGCTTATAACTCTCTTCTCTTAGTGTACAGAGAACAAAACAGAATTGCCCAATACTGTCATAGACACTGTATTCTAGGAGTTAGACTACGTTATCAAGAGAATGGCCACTACAAGGAACATCTCCTTTCACAACATCCAAACTACAGAGAGTGTCAGAGGAGATTCAAAACATGATTTAATCATACTGATTGCCATTAAATTTTAACAGCTACAGAATAAACAAATGTGATACTCAAAATCGTAGACATTGGCTTTTAGAAAATATGAGAGTCAGGTAGAAAGTTACTGCACCACACTTCAGAAAAAGCAAAAATAAACCTTTATTTTCTTTCGTAAAATGCTGCAAAACCAAAATATAAAATATGTGGAGGCAATATTTTGTATTTGTTGTTCTCTAGTCAGGTAACTTGCTTATTTGTTGATTCAGAGCTGCCTATTCTTTCTAAAACAGAATGGTATGATGAAAAAGAACCCTGAGTGAGAACCAAAAGATTACTGACTCTAGCTTTGGCTCTATCACTAAGTAGGATGCTCAATTAAGGCAAGACGCTTAGCTCCGGACCTCAGCACTCCTTGTAAAATGAAACACTGAAATAAGATCAGACCTCAAGACTCCCACAGCACTAACATTCAGCCACACAGACACAAACACACATGCACATGTGTGCACACACAGGCACACACACACGCTCCTCAGCTTTCCTAATATCTAACTGCTTTCAAATATAAACATGTTTCTTTCAGTTAATATAGAAACTTTTAGATCTTCTTACAACTTCAGAAGTTGAAAAGTTCTCCGGAGCATGAAAGCAAACCAAGTATAAAAATATAAAGTATGGGGCGCCTTGGTGGCTCAGTGGGTTAAAGTCTCTGCCTTTGGCTCAGGTCATGATCCCAGAGTCCTGGGATCGAGCCTCACGTCAGGCTCTCTGCTCGGCAGGGAGCCTGCTTCCCTTCCTCTCTCTGTGCCTGCCTCTCTGCCTACTTGTGATCTCTGTCAAACAAATAAATAAATCTTAAATATAAATATATATATATATATATATATATATATATATATGTATATAAAGTACATATACAGATTCGGAATGTTAACAGAATTTTTGAAAACTCCAATATAGTATTGTTTCACAATATATACAGTAGTAATCATCTTTTATAGTTACCTTAAAACTTAGATGAAAAATATCCATAGCCCTCATATTATATCAGTCTGATATTATTCCGATATATTCTATTTTGCTTTTGCAGCATTAGTTATGTAACTGAAAGAGACACACTACAAAATTCAGTATCTTCTACCTTTCTTCTTTTGTTTGGATGATGACCTGAAGAAGTATGATCCATCTGTTCCTACCAAAATAATGTGATCAAAAAGAAAGATCTGGTTTCACCTTAAATTTTTCTATTTCAATATAACAAAATGTACGTAAGCTTCACTTACATGACTATATTCTACATACCGAAAAAAAATAAATAAACAACCATGACTTTTTCTGATTATTAGCTGAGCATTAATCAATGTGAGATAGTAACAAATGGAAAACTGTTCTCAGGAGAACTGGTGACAAGCAATATAAACTGAGGAACATATCTGACAAAAGCACTTTGAGAAATAATCACTATTTCAGGATCATGGGTCTCCCACTTTCCAGCACGACTCTCTATGGCAGACACAGGACATGGAGGTGGTTCTGTTTCCTGTGGTCTGACCGGCACAGCAAGAGAAATGGCCGTGGTTGCCATGGTAGCCAGTTGTGATATGGGAACCCCAGGACACTCAAATGCTTCACCGAGTCTTTCAGATAAGTGGCCAGTAAACACAACTGAAGCTCAACTGTATGTTTTGTAATTAAAGATTCTCATTATGAAGTAGTAAGAATGTGTTTTCCCACATTTTCTAATATAGTTTCTTAATATCATAGAAACGTATTGTACAAGTACAAGAGAAAAACACCGCCTGTTTGATAGTCTTTGTAAAGAACATGACATTCGCTGATCACTGAATGCCTAGAAGATATGTGTTATTTCTAATATTCCAAATGCAGAATCCATTTTAGAAATTGTTAACCTGCTTTCTCTCCAATGTTGCCCAATAAACAAGAGGCATGTGTTATAAGAAATTACCTTTTAAAGATCCTAGCAGTATATAAATGCCATAAAATGGATTTATAAATAAGCTAGTAGTCCTAGTGATTTAAGCCAATGAATAAATAAAGGTTAATATTAACATTTTAATACGAAAATTTTGAAAGAAAGTTCCTAAGAGGCAATTATGGTACATTTCTTTTTTATGAGAATCATATGTACTCTCAAGCACAGTTGTAAATAGTAATTACACTCTTAAGCTGAAAATCTCACCAAAAGCCTTAAAAAAGCATGAGAAATCTAAATGAAGTCTCAGTGATACTCAAGATAAAGCCTCTAATGACGTTCCCTACTTTCACAATGGTCATCAGCCTGGGCCACACACCAGAGTGAACTTGGAAAAATGGTGCCTGGCTCCCCCCTGCTAGGGACTCTCCTGTAACTGGTTCAGGATGAGGTCTGGGGACTGGAATTTATAAACGCCAATTCTACCGTGCAGTCAGGACTGAAAACCATTGGTCCAAAAGTTGTACAAATGCCAACTCATCTACTACATGTTACTCCTTGAAGTCGAAAATCTTTCTTTCCGGGGCACCTGGGTGGCTCAATGGGTTAAAGTCTCTGCCTTCAGCTCAGGTCATGATCTCAGGGTCCTGGGATCGAGCCCTACATCAGACTCTCTGCTCAGCAGGGAGCCTGCTTCCATTCCTCTCTCTGCCTGCCTCTCTGCCTGCCTACTTGTGATGTCTGTCAAATAAATTAAAAAGAAAAAAAAAAGAAAATCTTTCTTTCCAAATCAAGAGTGTAAATCATGGTCAAATAGTGTATTCAATCATCACTGAAGAAATCTGGCAGTAGAGTTCTGGGTTTCTCACTTTATAGGATGCTCAACTGCTCACACAAAAGCCTCAGTTTCTATCTTCTTTTCTCTCTCAATCTGAATTGATTTTTCCTACTCACTTTTATACCACAGACCAGAATATACAAACCCAAAGAAATGGAATAAGGTGAATTCAGTAACCAATGATGAAAATCCTTTACAGATTATTTTCGCATTATCGGATTGATGCTGCAGAATTTGATAATTCCCTTCCAGACTGGGAGCATTAAATTCAGGTTTCAGAAGGCTTCGGGTGACTGTGATGTATCGATGTAGGTTCATCGACTGTAATAGCAAACATACCACTCTGGTGTGGGCTGTTGATAGTGAAGGCTATATGTGTGCAAGGTGGTACATGGGAAATCCCTGTAGCTTCCCCTCAATTTTGCTACGAACCTAAATCTACAAGTCTTAATTTTTTAAAAATGTTATGCTTTGGGGTGCCTAGGTGGCTCAGTTGGGTAAGTGTGTGACTCTTGGTTTCAGCTCAGCTCAGGTCATGACCTCAGGGTCCTGAGACAGAGCCCCATATCGGGCTCCGTGCTCGGCGGAGAGTCTGTTTAAAGATTCTCCCTCTCCCTCTCCCTCTCCCCCACACTCTGTCTCTCTCTCAAATAAATGAACAAATCATTAAAAAAAGAAAAGAGCTAACATTAAGATAATTTTATTTTCTCTTTCTCTGAAAATAAAGCATAGCTTCAAAATAAGGATTTGGCAATTAAAAAGAAAAAAAGTAACATAAAAGTAGCTGCTGAGTATTTATTTCTCTCTCTAAATAAAACAATGGGCTACTGCTCCAATTACTTTAGACTTTCAAGCACAGTAAAAGAGAATTCCTTTCCCACTATTTTAGTGTATAATTTCCACAGAGGTGAGGTGCTTAATGGGAATCAGGGGAGCACTGCGGGGTAAGAACAGCCTCTCATTATCTAGGCCGCCACAATCACAGTTTGACAAATCAGTATCAAAACTAAGATACTGTTTTTAAAAACAAACAAGGTCATTTTTACAAAACTAAATTATTTAAGAGTTAATTTTACTTGCTTGTTCAACAAATTGTTAAGACAGCTTATCCCATGAGGAGAAAAGAAGCTTTAAAATTCTCAGGTAAGGTGTGAACACTGCCAGTCTTCTTGAGTCATAAAACACCAGCACATTCTATGAAGCTGAACTGTGACTCTAACATGGCCTAACTGCCTGATAATATATAATCACGGGCCATTTATTTCTTAAGAATTAAAAAAAATGTTCTTAAAAAAGAAGATTTGGGGTGCCTGGATGGCTCAGTTGGTTAAGCAACTGCCTTCGGCTCAGGTCATGATCCTGGAGTCCTGGGACCGAGTCCCACATTAGGACCCCTGCTTGGCAGGGAGTCTGCTTCTTCCGCTGACCTCTTTCCTCTCATGGTCTCTGTCTCTCTCTCCCTCTCTCTCTCAAATAAATAAATAAAATCTTTAAAAAAAAAAGATGTACATATTTTCTCCAGTAAAATATTCACCGTAAATGAAGATAGAGAAAAGAGAAATGGATTTTAATTCCTGAATGCCTCCTGAATGCCACCTGAATATGTAAGAGATTGCTTGGGCTCCAAATCTGACAATACACAAAGAGATTAATTCCCAACCAAGTTCAGAAGATAAAAAGGGACAGGAAGAGAAGATAGGTACAAAAAAATTAATTAAATAAGTAAATAAAA